CGATCCAGCAGCATCCAGCAGCCTTCGCTGAGCCACGGTGAGCTCTGCTGTGCACCTCTTGCACAGGGGCAGCCTTGAAGCACCGAGTGGGCAGCTCCCGAGTTGGACTCATTCCCAGGAGAGCCTGATAACTCCTTGGGAAAACAGCCAGAAAGCAGCCAGGAGACGCTGAAGACGCAGCAGCCGCAGAAAACATCGCACTCCACCTCAGCCGAAGAAAGTTCGTAGCAGGACAGCCCGGATCGGAATCGGAAAGGCGCCTCCGGATCCATCTCCTGTGACCTGCAGGCCAGAGACCAGGAGCCTCCGGACTGCTCTGACGACAGGAATTCGGTGAGAAGGTCAAGAATTAAGAACATGGGGGGTACACTTTCCCAGGAACAAATAGAAATTCTGTCCGACCTACAAGGCATGGCAGACACACACACTAAGGGGATCCCAAAGAAAAAGCTTAGAGAATTATTGCTGTGGGTGCGGTGTAATTACCCGTACTCCGAAACAAGGCTGTTATTTGAAGTAGGCTTTTGGCAAGAAGTTAACAGACACCTATATTTTCTAGCCATCAATGAGGATAAAACAGCCTTAAAATTGCTGTCCTCAGCAAGAATTATGTTAGAGGCGACCTCAACTCAATTTAGGGGGTCAGCCAGGCAACAAGTTGTTGCAGGTCCCAGAGGGGCGGAGGGAGCAGAGCAAGGTTCCAAGCAGAAATTGGCTCTGATCTCAATTAGCCCGGGGGAAAAGGTGCCCGAGAAAAGGGTACAAGGGAAAATGTCATTGCCCTCAGTCCCACCATCCCGAAAACCCAAGGGAACCCTAAAGCACCCTGAAACTACAGAGAATACAGGGATTTCAGACTCCGACTCAGACACTGATGATACCATTCCTCTTCCTGATGAAATAAAGTTTTCTCCCAGCGACATCGAGGAGACAGGCCACCCTTCCGGAGTGTACTGTCCCGATTCGCAGGAATCAGGGGGGGAGGAGGTGGAAAACGTGGCGGAGTCGGGGAGGGGGGTTCAAAGGGAACAAGCGGGGAAAGGGGATGCGCTCTCTCGCGGCAGGCGCGGCGGCGCGGAAGCGGCGGCGGCCGGCGGGGGGGGCGGGGAGTCAATGGGAGACACGGGTTTCCATGCGACTCTTGTGAGCGCAACGCCGAAAGCGACAGTCGTCTTTGGAGCGGTGCCAAAGACGCGCGGGTCGAGCAAGGCTCAGGGAGTGGCCGGGGAGACCTCTCAAACCAGCGCGGGAGCGTCAGACACGGGCAGCAAGGACGGAGCAGCTGCAGAGCTCCGGAGAGCTGCTGTGAAGGGACGCAGGAGACGCGCGGTGGTGACGTCAGACCCGGAAGTCTGGACCCGGAGATCGGCTCGAATCGCTGCGAGAAAGGGGGCACCCGCAGGGAGGGGGCTGCGCGCTTCAGCGGGGGGTGTGGATACAGCGTCAGAGGAGGAGGAGAGAGGGGCAGGAACAGACGATAGGGAGGAGACTTCGGAGGTGGAGCGGGACGGAGACAGTGACGTCAGTACAGGGGAGGCAGAGGGCGTCCCCGAAGGCACGCATGCGCGGGAAGTGCCGGCGGAGCGAGGTCGGGGGCGGGTCCGATCCTCTGTGACGTCTGGGGCGAAAAGAAGGGGCCACACTCGGGGTTCGGCATCCCGGGGCTCCATCCCCTCTCCGAGACCGATGCCTTTAGCCTCAAACCCTATGGTTCAAACCCCTTCCACTCAAAAGAAACGCTCAAATACTCAACCCTCAATGCCAGCTCAGTCAGTCAGCCAAAACAAAATGTTTGGGAAACGTTAGCCCAGGCAGCAAACTTAGAAAGTATCTGCCTGACACATTCGAAACCAGGGAAACCATTCACGGCATGCATGGTTGGGTTGCCAGTGGGCGAATGGCCAATTCCAGGGCATCCTCCAATGGAGATTTCACAGGTCATCAAAGATCCTGTGAATGAATGGTGTGCCTGGACACATCTTTTACCTGTGGCCTCTACTGAACCGCAGGAATTGGAGATTTTTGGGTCCACAACAATGGAGCTATGCATGAAATTTGAAAATTCGAATGTGTCAAGGACAAACAATAGCATTGATGTCACACCAAATCATGAATATTATAGAAATGCATCAGCTTGGTGCAATCACACTGTGACGACGGCCAAAGGATCAATCCAGGTCCCAGTGCAATTGCCACGTGGGTTGTTTTTAATTTGTGGGGACAGAATTTGGCACGGCATTCCTGCAAATGCCAAAGGAGGTCCATGCAGCATTGGGAGGATTTCAATGTTGTCACCAGATTTAAAAGTGTTGAGAGAACAAAAACACAAAGAGAAAAGGTCCTTGCAACATTACAGTGCAGACTGTGATGATGAAGTGTACACCTGGGACAAGGCAAGGAGAATTGCAGCAGCAATTTTCTCACCTCAGACAGCATCGGGGGTGGCCTTGACTCAACTGGACCACATGGGTTGTTGGTTGAGCAAGCATGCTCAATCAGTTTCTCTCGCTTTGAGTGACATGTTAAAAGATGTAAGCAGTGTGAGAGAGGCAACTCTTCAAAATAGAGCAGCAATCGATTATCTATTGCTCGCTCATGGACATGGATGTGAAGAGTTTGAGGGGATGTGCTGCATGAATCTCTCAGATCATTCGAGATCAATTCATGAAAGCATTCAAAATATAAAAGACAGTATAAAGAAATTGGGCGAAATCACTGGGTCATGGATTGATGATGTGGCGGGATTTTTTGATCTTTCTCCCTTATGGAGAGGGTTTTTAAAAATGGGATTTTATATTTTAATGATACTCTTAGTCCTCATGCTCATCGTCCCATGCATCTTTATGTGTGTGAGACGTGTCATGAGTCAAGTTGCCAAAGAAGTCTTCTTGGTGCAAACAGAAGGGGGAGATGTGGGATCTCAGCACATCGTTCCCGATGTCCAGAGATGCCAGGAGAACCCTTGGGGGTCTCGAAAACCCTGGAATGTTGCCAAGAGTGCTTGGTGGCTTGATTTTGATCCATCCACAGAAGTAACAAGAGTCTGAGGACAAGAGAATCACTTTAGAGTAAAAAGTGTAAAAGAGACACATTTAGAGGGTGAGATATAGACTTTAAGGTTTTTGGTACAGGGGGGTTATGGAGACAAGATGGAGAGATCGGGGCGTGTCTTGTCCTTCTTCTTTCTTCTTCTTGTCCTCCATCTCCTGTGATGATGTTGGCACTTAGAGATTGGTTTCTAGTGAAGGTGCACTTGCCAACATGGGCGAAAAGCATTGGGAAATAAAGGTAAATATTGTATACGTAGGTTTTAGTATAAAAAGACATGACCGCCCCGTGGGTGGTCAGAGAGTGCCTGTGACTGCCTGCAGATCAGACCTCTGTTGGGCAGACAGAAAAATTTTGTAGATAAGAAATAATAAACAACCTGAAGACCGAAAGCTGAAGAGTCCAGACTCGTCCTTTGCATCGTGCCCACCAAAGAACCACCCTACCCGTGTCGGGGCAGAGACAGACAGCCGGACCCGACACCCACCAGCACTCAGTTCCTCAAGTGCATCACCCCACTGCCTCTCACTATCTGGTTTTGTCCCTTCCCCCTTCCAAACTAGTTTAAAGCTCTATTGATGAATCCTCTGAGTTCCTATGCTAGAAACTCTTTTCCCCTCTGAGAGGTGCATCCCATGAGGTGTCAGCAGATCAGGTGTTGTATAGACCATCCCATGGTCCAAAACCCAACATTATTCTAATGACACCAGCCCCAAAGCGCAGTGTTGATCTGATGGATCTGCCTGTTCCTTTGAATATTGTTTCTTTGAATACTATTCCTTGGTACTGAAAGGACCATAGAAAACATTATTTGTGATCCTTCAACAAATCATCCCTAGGTCCTGAAATTCCTTTTACTCTCAGACTTCTCTTTGTTGTCTCATCACTGCTGACTTGAAGAACCAGTAACAGATAATCAGAGAGCCCTTAGAAGGTAATCATGAGAACTATTCTTCTCCTCTTAACAAATCAGGGTGTGATGCAGAAGTAGATTGTGTTGCCCTTGTTGGTCCCACTCCATCCCAGAAGTACCTTCATACACCTCATCCATTGACTGTCTTTCGGGTTCCAGGCCTTCCTACCTGTTCTAAAAAGTGCCTGTCCTATTGGTCATCATCATGTTTTCAGGAGGAAGAGCTTTTCTCCTAGAACTGTCAGAGACCAGCTTCCAGCTCTCCTGTTCAATAGGCCACTGACTAGATACATGACAGTGTTCTGAACCCATCTGGCTCTTTACTAAAACAGAAGTTCAGGACTTCTTAGGCTGTAGCACCTCTGAGAATTCATCAAGTTCTCATTCTCTTGAATACTGTGTATTCACTTCCCTTCGTTGTTTCTTCATCTGGTGATGCAGCATATTGACAATACCTGAAAAAGGAATCATTGAGCCTCACAGAAAGGCATCCAGCGCTCCTGATAACCTGAGACTTGGAGAGCTGTATGTAGCATCAGTGGCTCTGGCTGTCTGGAGGCCTCTGACATGGCTGGTGAAGTGACTTCAGCAGCTACAGGGCCATGCCAAAACCAGAGCAGCTCTGTGGCATGCCAGAACTATACCTGAGAGAGGATACACTATTAAGACTGGTGCTGAAAAGATCTCTTTGTGTCCTTCACCAACTATTTGGTCTGTTATCTGCCTCTATTGGCTGGTCACAGAGAGCTGAAGAGCAGCCCTTCCTGCTCATCCTGTCCGTAGAAACTGATATGGCACATTCCCATTTGCTCACTCCTGTTCTCCTCGTTCTGGATCATTTGCACTCCCTAGAACCATTTAAATCTCCCTTGCTGCTTCTGGCACTGTCCCCTCTTTGCTGGTTGGCTGCCAAGGGCTTCCAGGTCTGGATGGGGCTAGTGGCTGCTGTTTGAGTAGCCTCGAGATCAGGTACCCCCCTGTACAGCTGAATCTAACTCTCACTCTTAGACCTATCTCAGTTGCCACTGATGCTGCCTCATCAACAGACAAGTATCTTTCTTGTCATGATGGAGCCAAAACTGAAGATGATTGGATAGGAACAGAAAGGAGAAACAGAGAACATGCACACTGGAAAGAGCATGAATATCCACAGCACAAAGTACTAGAAGCAGTAGTTTTAGTAGAAAAAGAACAAAGACTGTGACTATTGCATGAAATCCATACAGGAACTTAGAAGAATAGGGACCATCTGCTTTTAAAAGAAGATGAACCAAGATCACCTCAACACTGGGATGATGAAATGGAGAGTCAAGATATGACCCCAAAGTTTGGTGAATTCAGTCTTACAAATCATACATTGGTAAGGAGTAATGACTCATATACTTGGACAAATGGTAGCATCATCAAGAGATAAGACTTAAGCATAATGGTAATGTCAAGACAACGTTCATGTACAATTGTCTTGATTTCATCACAGCTGACAACTCAGACCCACACAGCCACTTGCTAACTTCCTCTCAGTGAGATGGGGGAAAGAAATGGAAGGGTAAAAGTTAAAACCCTTGGCTTTAGATCAAGACAGTTTAATAGGCAAAGAAAAAGTACACAAGCAGAGTGAATCAGGGAATTAAATCCCCATTTTCCATGGGCAGGAAGGTGCTCAGACAAACCCATGACAACAAGACTCCTTCATGCCTAACCAGAACTCAAGAATACAAATGCTGTCCCTCCCTTCTTCTTTCTTGTCTGTGTTGGTTTTGCATGGCCTGATTTTTGGTAGCATGTGGGCCATAGAGGTCTAGAGGTCTAGAGCTTCTGTGAGAAGCTGCTAGAAGCTTCCACAATGTCTGGCAGAAACAATCCCTGATGGCTCTGAGGATAGATATGCTGCTGGCCAAGGCTGGGCCAATTAGAGATGATGGTAATGCTTCTGTGATAAGATATTTAAGAAGAAATTGAAAACAAAGGTGGTGGTGCTGTTTTAATTCTAGCTATAGAAGAGGAGGTGAGAACCTGAGAGAGAAACAACACGGAGACACCAAGGTCAATGCAGAAGGAAGGGGAGGAGGTGCTTCAGGCACTGGAGCTGATATTCCTTTGTAGGCTGTGGAGATGACCATGGTGAAGCAGCTATGTGCCCGCAGCCCATGGGGATCCACAGGGGATGCAGAGATCCACCTGCAGCCCTTGGAGGAGGTGCCCACGCCAGAGTGGGCAGATGCCCAGAAGATGCTGTGATCCAGTGGGAGACCTGGTGGAGAGAAGGGACCCTTGCTTTCAAACTGGAGCAGCCTGTCCTTGGAGGACTACACCTCATGGAAGAGTGCCCCCCCCCCCCCACCACAGCTGTTTTGGGAGGACTGTTGCTTGTGAGGTGGGAACCACACTGGAGAAATTCTCTGATAACTGCCTCCCATGGGAAGGGAGACTATGGTCTCACGAGGGAATGACTTCTCTCCCTAAGCCAAGCAGAAGAAAACCTTGTGTGATGAGCTGATCTCCCCCCCCCCCCCCCCCACCCCGTTGGTTGGAAGGAAGGAAGTGTTAGGAGGAAAATGGTATTTTTAAGGGTTTATTTTATTTCTCATTTTCCTGCTCTGGTTTTGTTAGTAATAAGTTCACTTGATATTTCTAAATTCAGCCTGTTTTGCCCTCAGAGTGTTTTTTCCTGGCTCTTAGGTCATGAACCCTTCATTAAATTTCCTCTCCTCTGCCCAGCTGCAGCAGGGGAGGGTGAGTGAGTGGCTTTCATGGATGCCTGGCATTTGGCCAGTGTAAAACCACAACACCCCGCCAGAGTGAAATGCTGATGATGACACCCTATGGTTGGAGATATCCCTTGGGTCAGTTGGGTTTGGCTATCCTGGCTGTGCCCCCTCCCAAATCCTTGTGCCCCCTGGACTGCTCACTATCAGAGCATGAGAAGCTGAAAAGCCCTTGACTTAGGTTAAGCACTATCCAGCAACAGCTAAAATGTCTGTGTATTACTAATGTTATCCTCCTCCTAAAACCAAAACATGCCATTGTCTCCTTGGAAGAAATAAACTTGATCCCAGCCCAAACCAGGACAGTAATGAATGTAAATTGAGTTTAGATTCCAAAACAAATTCCAAGGGACTGACATTAGTACACATCCCTAAGAATAGCATAGCAAGCATGCTTTAAAGACCCATGATATTATACCACCTGGCTGAGTGAATGCAGGCAAGCAAGACAAACCTTGCAAGACAAACCTTCTGGCCCTGTGTTTGTCTGTGCAAAGGCACACAAGCCATGCTTCTGCTTATCTACATAGCTCCTTTATCTCTAAATCTTTGTTTTTATCTTCAAGAGGAGGAATTGTGGTAATCCTTAAAATCAGAGGGTTTTGGGAAAGCTGCAAAAGATAGGCCTCAGAGACAGCAATACTGCGATTAGAGCTAAGCAATAGCCATAAGATTTGTCAGCAGAAAAATGATATAAGAAGTAGAAAGTAAGAACAAATAGAATAATGGTCTGTGTATTAATGCTTGGCTAGAATAACTCCCTAAGCTACAGAAAAGTATATTTAACAAGATATTAGGAAGTTCTAAGCTTGATAATGGAGTTCTGTGCATTATATTTTAAGACTTATAAACAAGTATGTTCAAAATAAGCAAGCATTGTTTTAAGAAAAGGTCTGTGTGCTTGTAGTTGTTGGCTAGAACTACTGTCAGTATGGTTTTGATTTGCATGATTAGTCAAAAACTTTTAAAGTAAGTTGTAACATTGAGTTCTTTGTCTGCTGCCGGGGATGAGAGCTGCTGGTATCTCCCCAGTGTCATAAACATGTAATGAAATGGAAAATATAGCAGCTTGAGACGCCTTCCCCAGCAGTCCTATCCCATTCGTGATTTGTACATAGACTCCCTGCCAGCAATACTGAGATCAGGTGGAAATAGATTTCCAGCAATGTTAGTAAAAAAAAAAATAGTGATATAGTAGCAGAAGTTTGGTTTAAAAAAAAAGGGTATACATGATTCCTCTTTCTTGCCTGCTTTCTAATTCCTATCACTAAATGTTATGCACTCCCAGCAAGGAATATTAGTAAAAAGAGTCAGGATGGTAGCCTATGAAGAAGAACCTTATTTCACACATCAAAGCTTGTAAGATAATGTGAATCAAATCAGCGATCTTTAGCTTAAAAAGAAGAAACAAGACATCCTAAGTACTTCTTATCTGTTCACAACATCAGTTTTGTCACCATGGGGAGAAGACAGTTACAGAGAATGTGCTTTTGAGCAGTGGCAGCTGGGGTATTACAGGATACTTCTGTAGTCATTCCTGATTTTAAAACTCAAGGAATGCAAAGGCAAGTAAATGTTTCAATTCTTCAGCCCTTGCACTTTATGACTGCGACTGGTGATTCAAAACATGTCATGCTATTCATTAGCGAAACTGCTATCGATATGCCTCCTTCTCATGGCCCTTCCATCTTCTATCCTTTCTTCATTTTGACCAAATTCCAGGCAGAAGCCAGATTCTTTGGGAGAAGTTTGTATTGGAAAAAGAAAGCAAGGAAAATCAGAGATTGCATGATACTGCAGCACTCCAGATACACATGAGCTAGAACCCTCAAGCTGCTCCACTGACAGTTTTAGCTGATTTCCAACTGATATCTGATATTTAGCAGATTCAAATTTCAGCATGCAGAAACCAAACAGAAGTGTCACGTTGAAGCTGGGAATACTGAAAGTATTTGAGTGCTGATGTGAATCTTTAAGTACCAATTTATTAGAAAAATAGGCTAGCTCTGCTTTTACCAACACAAATCTTTAATTCATGTGCCAGTCACTCACTACATATGAGATCTCCTGCACTGGCAGGGGGAATGGCATCACCATTCAAACTTCAGTACTAGCAGTTAATGAATGTCAAGAGCATAGTTCCCTACTACACCACAGGCATAGTCAAGGGTACCCCAGAACCTATTCTGGACCCTGACACACTGACTGCATATGGGTCCTCTGCTCACCATCTGGTTCAGTGTGGTGCTCACTGCAAGCATGCAGCACTTGCAGACTGGCCCATGGGCACACTCCAGGCTTCTGTGTCCCCCTGAAAACCAGCACCCACCCTCTGCCCATGTGACACCCCTGCCCAGACCTGAAGCCTCCCACTTTCTTGTTTGCTGGGGAATACATGTACAGACCTGGGTAGGGGAGGGCATAGCCAGCACCAGGCTGAGACCTCTGTGCATTGCCCCATCAGCTGGCACCATTGCACCAGCACTCAACACCCCAAACCCTCAAGATTCCAGCCTCATTAAGTGCAAAGTTCTGTTTTGATGCAGTTTCCCAGAGCCCCTGCACTTGCTGTGATTGACAGGGTTGTTTTGTTGTCTTTCTGTCACAGACTAGACATAAAAGGTGTCAAGTTGAAGGGAATCATAACCATCAAGTCCTACTCCTCTTGCAGGACTGCCTGTCAGATTTGCATCCCTCAATTTTAATTTCTGACTTTCCCTTCCCTGACTTTTCCTTAGTATCCCATTTGACAAGGTCCTTGATTAGATAACCTTTCCAAAGTGAACATGATCATGTTCCACACCTTCTTATCAATTAATGTGACCAGCCACCCCTGGCTCTCATTACTACCTCTCTTACCATCTCTCTGGTGGGTTTGTGTCATTGTTCATGTTGTCCCACTTTTCCTACTAGTCCCTTCTGCACTTCAAATGTTCTTGACCAGAAACACTTCGAGGAACAACAGTTCTCTCTTTGCTCTCCTTCCTTCCCAGCATTTCTTTATCTTGAAATTCCCTAAAAATGTTCCTGTTCCTTTACCTGTCTATAAAGCAGCAACTGGACAACCTGGCATTGGAAACAAAATAGATGGATATTTCTATCTTGATACAGACAAAATAACCCTCCACTCCCTGAGGTAATGGTCACAGAGAACAAGCAGACAGCTTTAATTAGCAGCCAGATCTCATGTCTGTCAATACAAGCTTCCAGCGATGCTCAGCCCTCTCACCCACCCAACCCTTTGGTGGATGTGCCTCAGGATTTAGCTAAGGGGCAATAACGTGGGGTTTATATGCAGTAAATGGCAGTTAACTCCTGTTTAAGAAAAAGCTTCAGCACACTGTCAATTTGTCTAGGTAATACTAAATGTCATCGCATAGAGAAAGACTTCAGCATGTGTCTTCCCACTGCTACTTGGGATTGGCCTGGTGTGGTTTCTGCTGTAGCACAACTAAAGGCAGAATTAAACACTCCACACAATACCCAGCAAAAGCATAGGGAGATATGCATCTGTTTTTAAGATATGATAGCAACCCCCTAGCCAACTCTTAGATGTTCTTGCTTTGTTCTGCATATTTCTAGTTTTATTTCTGGTGCTTAAGTTCTCTTAAAGGTGTCACTCAATTCCTTGTAGACAGTTGGCTGACAAATACCTTCTCCATTCAGAACAGTTCAAAGGTGGTGGTGTTCTTCAGAGATCCTCCTATCATCATGTTAACACAAGAGCATCAGAAAGTGCACAGGCTTGTTAAGCATCACTGAGGCTTCATAACAAGATAGCGCAACGCTTTATATGGGATCAGTTTAAATCCTAGCACTCTTGACTTCACATTTACTGAAGCCAGTCCTATTTTGTACAACACTGAGCATATAGTGTAACTCTGGGAACCACAGCTGTGACTTAGTTAATGATCTCAATAAATCCTACTTAAGCAGAGACAGGAAGAGAATTATGCAAATGACTATTACTGTGCACCATGCGCTTGATAACTGAAGACATCCCACAATAAGCTTCAGCACATAAAATGAGTACTTTTTAAACCCAGATATGTGAAAAGTATGTAAGCAAAGGAACGGCTTACAGAATTTTGCTTCTGAAAAGTTGCAGTTGCAGAACATTTATTATAAACCTAATAGTAAAGGAAGCATACAGAAGGAATATGTACAAGGAGGAATGGTTAAAAACCCAAGATGACAGATTTTCACATATAGCTGTAAGTGTGAGAAAGAATTACTTGTCTGAAAAGACCTTTCTAAAACATCGTGATAAAAGACTCTGCCACTCACACTTGGCAGCTAGATAAGATGTCTTCTATCAGCCTCTTGTAGACCCAGGCATCACCTTTAAGCCGTTGTCGCCGGATACCCACTGCTTCCGGCTTAGTGAGCTGACATACTTCTAACTCAAACTCCATAGTTACTTTACCAAAATCTGACCGTGTTTGACATTTCAGGGTATAACTGCAAAACAGAAGAAAAAACAGAATAATTGTTGACCCATTTCATATTTGTTTTGCAATGCTATTTTAAATCAGTAGAAGCACTTTAAATAAAATACCCCATTGCTGTTCAGAATATTGTGAAACAGTCCACAATTTAGTCACCTGAGAGCTTTGTAAATACTGTAGTTTCAGGGCACCATATTTATTATTATGCCCTAGGACCAATATGGAGCATCAATGTCCCACACTGCCATAAGAACCCCTGCTAGCCAATGGCCCCTCTCCTCAGAGCTGGAGCAATGGAAAGTTCCCATGTTTTTCCTAGACAAGAACACTCTGTTGGCTGCAGCTCAGCTGGTGTGAAAGTAGGAAAAGCTGAATGCAGAGTTTGAATGATTACAATGGAAGCAGGTGCTGCTGTGCAATCCAGCATCCTTCCATATTATGAGTTTGGAAATGCATCAGAGGATTCATGTATACTCTGATGTTCTACCAGTACCCAACACTGAAATACTCAAGAACTTGAGAAAATACATATTGAAAAGCGGGCACATTGGTTATTTCATGCATTGGGAACTCAGGAAATAGTCTTTCCGTTTGATCAAAAGTAAGAACCAATCTAAGTAATCAGTAGCTTAGTGTAGCTAGTAAACAGTACAATTTCAAATAATCCACAAAAAGCTGTGTGGCTTCTGCACACATTTTAAAATGTACTGACCTCTTGCCTAAAGGCTAATGTCTTTTAACTGCCAAGAATGAGAGTTAAAAGGAATCTACACTATTTTCCAAAATTGTCCCATTTGTTCATGTGACTGTACCTAAACCAGCTTTTGGTATTTAAAATTTCACATGAGATGGCTGATGTGATTTTTTTCCTAAGCATTACCCTGCTACTATTGGTTTATACCTGTTGGTAAAAGAACTCTGCTAGAAGACACTTAATATAGTTTTGCACTGTTTGGGCATGTTTTATTGCACATATTTATTTAGTGCTTTGTACACTTTCTATAAAGATTATTTTACAATAAGGTCAAGAAACTAAGTTTAAATACTTTGTTTTTTAAGGACTAGACTAGTAACCATTTAGATAGATACAATTTGAACTAATCATATTTTCCACTTACCCCTTCTGAACATATTCCACATGCTTCTTTGAAAGAACAATGATTATTTCATTCAACAGTTCATCTGGATTCAGCAGATGAGTGGTGGTAATGTTACAATGTGCCTAAAAGTAAAATTAGGAGTAACATTGGCTTGTTGAAACAGGGAATAAAAAAATAAAAATCTCTCCTAAAACTGAAGACATTGCAAAAAATTTTCATTAAGGAAGTTTCAGATCAGCTAACCATGGTGACAAACGCTTCAACATCCCAAAACTATCACCTTGCTGTATGGTCCAGAGCTGGGAAATGGCCAAAAGCTGAGACATAGTGCTTCTGATAACAAGGAGCAGGCAATGCGCCAGGCAACTTTTCATGTATAAAGAAAAGAGGTTACAACATGTCCTATATCTGGCTTCTGAAGTCACAGAAGCAGTCCAGAGAAGATGAGACTGAAAAAAAAGCTTGAAAAATTAACATAGGATGAGGATGCAAAGTCAGTTGAAAAGTGCTTCTTGTGGTCTTTATTTGGATTTAAATATACACAGCCCTCTGACATAACACTGTCTTGCGGTACTGTAGCCCAGCATCTCTCAACGTGCCTCAGGAATTTTGCATAGACTATAGACAAGAGAAACTGAGGCAGGAGACTAAAGGCATTTAGAGAAAGAATACAGCTTCCAGTTGCTCAGCTTCCTGGATTATTTGCACAGTCTAGACTCCTGTCTGACTGGCTGGTCAGGTTTGTAGCCCAATATCTTGTCCTGAACATGCATCATTGACAGACAGTTCTCAGTGTGTAGTAGGTATCCCAGCAGCCAGTTAGTTGAAGGGACACATCATTTGCTTTGACACAACTGCTTATGCCTTGATAAACAACCTGCCCTCTTTCAGGGTAATTATGTTTTTCAAACATGTTGCCTAAAGATTCAAGTACAAATATTTTCTCGTATAGCTTCTGAAGTATTTAAGTTGCATTTGAACAATGTATACAGAATCACTAGAGTTGGAAGGGTCCTCTGTAGATCATGCAATCCAATCCCCTTGTCAAGTCAGGGTCCCCTAAAGCAGGTTTCACAGGAATGTATCCTGGTGGGCTTAGAATGTCTCCAGAGAGGGAGATTCCATTACCACCCTGGGCAGCTTGTTTCAGTGCACTGCCACCCTCAATGTAAAGAAGCTCTTCCTCATGTTGAGGTTGAACATGAGGTTATTTTATGCCCCTCAGTTCAGTACAGCCTGTTAACTGTCTCTTGTTATTTACCCCTCTGTCACAACTGGCCATCAACCTGTGCACGCTTTGCGCCTTTTCTCCATTAGAAGGAGAAAAGGCTTTTAGTGAGCAATGTCTCACATTTTAGTGAGCAATGTCTGTTGTAGTGCGTTTTTATACTTTGTAATACTTGGAAGTAGTTTTGTATTCCCATATTTTTCCCAAATGGTTTATCCCAGACTGTACTCCCCTCCCTTTACCTGTGTTATCCCTCTCCCTGGATGAGATCATCCCCAAACCCCCACCCTGGCTCTCTGTCAATCACTCAGCCTCCCATCCCTCCATGCAGAAGTTTCGGTCCAAGTCGTTGAGTGATCAACCAGAGGCCAGGGGTCAGCTCCCCAAGCCTTGCCCCATACGCTGTCCTGTATGTCTATCCCCCAGCATCCATCCCTTAGGGTCACTTAATGGTTGGTAAAATGTTATCTACTTTCAGTTTCCACCTCCCTTTAAATGTAACCTTGGCACATCTCCCGGGGCTCTCGGCAGGAGGCCCCTGAGGGGCAGGAGCTCCTTTGGGACTCCTAATAAAACCTTGGATTAACCCCTGCTAAGAGTCGGCCCTTTATCTTCTACCGATGTCTCTGGTGTCTCTGCTGCTGCAAAGGCACCAGCCCAGGTGCCCTCAGTACCCTCGGGGCACAGAGAGTGTCTGCCCCCAGCCCAGGTGCCCTCAGTACCCTCGGGGCACACACAGAGAGTGTCTCCCCCCAGCCCAGGTGCCCTCAGCACCCTCGGGGCACAGAGAGTGTCTCCCCCCAGCCCAGGTGCCCTCAGCACCCTCGGGGCACAGAGAGTGTCTGCCCCCAGCCCAGGTGCCCTCAGTACCCTCGGGGCACACACAGAGAGTGTCTGCCCCCAGCCCAGGTGCCCTCAGTACCCTCGGGGCACAGAGAGTGTCTCCCCCCAGCCCAGGTACCCTCAGTACTCTCGGGGTACAGAGAGTGTCTCCCCGCTGTCGGCTGTGTTGGGGCTGCCCCCCAGTGTCTGCTGACTTGGGACTGGCCCAGGGCTCCTGAGAGGCTCCCAGAGAGACAGAGACAAATGTCTATACAAATAACATGATTAAAAACTAGCCAGTAGTTCTCCTTTCAAACCATGCTGCTTCCTTCACATTTGGTTTAGATGGGCTATAAGCAGCAAGGGCCAAACTCCTCCCTGGATCTGTTGCCTGAACCCCAGACGAACTGAACGTGGTAACTGGGGCACTGTCTTGTTATCAGCAATACTGTACGAGCAGTTTACTGTAGAAGTCAGGCAAGACAGGTCACAGAAGCTTTCACAAAACCGTTTCTGAAGCTACTGGATGTTTTCAATCATAATTATTGTAAGACAACAAATACATAACTAACATAATTACTTACTATTATAATAATACTTGCTTTATGTAAGTAAGACCTTTGCAGCAACCATACCTTAAGTTTCCTTGGACAATCTCTAGTGCATCGTTTCTTCTTGCTTGGTGTAAGCATCGTGATCACTTTATCTAGGCCTCTTTCAAGACTTCCAAATATTTTAGCTTTTCTCTTCTTTTGGCTGCTATCCACATGTGCAAGGTTGAGATCTAAATCCACTGACTGACACCTGTTACATGAAAAAATTAATCTGTTATTTTTCCCTCAGTCTTAAAAACCTATTATTTCAAAGATGTCACTAAAATATTACCAGACATGACAGAACAAAGAAAATGAAATCAAGTACAATGTATTATAGGAGTTTCTGTTTGAAAGCCTGTTGAAGTTTAAACCCAGAGATGTATCTAGAAATTGCAGTTCTTTGGAGACCTGGAAGAAGAAGGCACCTACGTTATAGAAAATAGATTATATTGAGTTACATAGTTTTAAAATTTTTCTCTACCTTCATTATTTTCTGGTGACTGTAAAAAGAGGTTTTAGAAAGGTTTTTACTGAAAGAATAGGAACAGCAGCTTGCTGTTGTAACAGGGCTTCCTAGGCAGCAAATGGATTAAGGTAGTCCTGCTCCGAATCATGAATGTACACAAACAACTGGACACTTACCTTCTTTCAGGAAGAATCTCATCTGCTGCCAATTCATCTGCATTTGTTGGGTTAGCAGGTTTCTTAATTGGGGTGACTGCAGTGAACTGACTCTCTGAAAGAAAAAACCAAGCCAAACCAGATATGTCTTTGTGTAAAAGGATCTTCTCTTCTTCACTGATGATTTCTCATTATTAATAATTCTAACAGTTCTCTACAATTCTGTAGTTCTAACAGCAGACCCCCTTTTCTATCTCAGGTCTATATTTTGGGAATTATAAAATATGTTTTTAATACTACCTCTACTCTACAAATTAAAACTATCACTGATTTCCCCAGGGCTCTACAAGTCAAACCTTAGGAGTAACTATTGCAGTTCAGTATTAGAGATTTGAGGACTAGAATTGCTTTCTTGCTCTGCTGCTGGTCCATGAATAAATATGGAGCAATCTGCTGCATTGACTAGTTGTGTTCTTCAGTAATCTGTTTGCCTTATATGAGGGGTGTAAGTTTATATAGTCATAATATACAATAGTATATTATGTAGTATAAAAATAATATAAAAATAGTATTAAATACATTGTTTAATATACAATGTACATGCTACACAATGATCTAAAAGTCAGTGTCTGCAGAGCATGGTTTTAAAGGTGCAGGAGAAAACACTAAGTGAAACAGTCAGCAAATAAGTTGTCACAATTAAAGCCAACTTCAATGTTCAAATTTTCAGCTCTCTACAGAATTGCACTCAGCTCCAGACAAACAACCTCAAAATTTCCAGTGGATTCTTTTCCTTTTCTATTTCCTGAATCAAAGATCTTTAAATGTGGCAAAGAATTAGCTTTCTTTGTTTAATCCTCAGAAATGTCACTAAATAAATGAGCTAAAAGTGTTTTTACATTTCCCATTTTGGGTAGTATCTCTTGTTTTTAGATATACACAAATGTCAGACATTTCAAGTTATGTACAATCTTAAGGCAAACTCATAAACTAGTTTCTGTATTGCTATTCTTTATGAATGATCTCATTAAATAGCAGTATGTTCAAAATCCCTTATTACTCAAATCCTGCAAAAACTTACTGTTCCTGAACAATGCTTCTTAGCACCTGAAATGAAAGAGTCTCCTATTGCAAGGAGCCTTTGGCATTTGAAGGACAGAGTTAGCATTTACAGAATCAACACCAAAACTTTAATGATAATCATTGAACTAAATGGTAATGAACATATGGGATATGTACATAACGAGAAAGGCTGATGACAGAAAATTCTGGTAACTCAGAAAAGCTGACATAATTTATACAGATTTCTGTGGTCTATTGCATAGCTGCAAGACCTACACATTGTTAACAGAAGCATTTTCACTGCTATACTGGATGGCCCCTATGAAAATACTGATATGCAACCATAAGAAATCCAAAAGCTATATTTCTCTTAGAACCAGCAATTAAAGCAGTATGCTTTAATTTTTAAAAGTATGCTTTTATTTTCATTCAAGGTAATCACAAAGGAAAAACAGTGTTGAGGAAACTGCAATCTCAACTTTCATAGAAAAGTGGAACCAGGTGCAAGCTTTAACAACAGAATGCTTGGCTCCTTGTTTGAGTATACCAAAAGGGGCTCACACATGATAATTGTGAGCAGCAATACAAGTAACATGCCCTGATGGATGGTTAAAACTATTGCAGCACCCTACCAGATGTACTAGAAGAAACTGGGTGGTACACAGAGAAAAAAAATTTAAGTGCTCCAGAATAGATGTATTGGATGAAGAAACATTGTGCTTATATTTGAGTTTCAGTAATTCCCAAGCAACATACATGTTCTAACCTTTCATTAGTTACATTCTACATACCTTTGAAAGCAGCTGCCTTAAGGGGAACAGCTTGTACCTGTGTCTCAATCTGACTCTTTGCAAGAGGAGTCTTAGGAGTAGGAAGCGCAAAGGGCATTTCATTTCTTAAAGCTGACACTGTCTCAACATTCTCTTTATTTTTATGCTTCTTTGATGCCACTTTTCTTGTCACTGGAGTTGACAGTGTGAATTCCGTATACTCCAGTTGGGCATCAGGCCTCGAATGCTACAAGAGATGTAACAAAAAGAAAAAAGCCATCCTTGCTGTATTCTGATCACATTCAGGAACATTATAGACATGAAAATTCTGAAGCAGGGTAAAAATATCATACAATGCTTGACTATAGAGCAATAGTTAAATACTCCTCAATACTTCTGATTCCTTCAACAACTCGCTTATAAGGTTTGCAAGTAATTTGCTGCTTTTTTACCAGCTCTTCTAAATTCTTTAGCTTGCACATTTAAGGCTATTCCTCACCAGCTCATCTACGCACAGGTAGGAATTTCCCTTTAGCTTAATTGTAAAATTTTAATTGCTTCATTTGATTTTCTTGTCCAATATAGAGAGGCTGCACTTTTTCAGAGACTTCTCCAGCTCTAGCCTAGGTCTGAGACCTTGTTTGTTGCACCTTATTTTTTTCCTGTTGGTTTTAAAATCCTTATTTACTCATTTTCTAGATGATCAAAGTTTAAGTTTTAGTCAAATTACCTAGAGCTAGAAGAAGGCACAATGTATGTTCAGCTATATATTTAGAACACTTTACTCCACTTGTAACTCCACTAGGCTAGATTCTACCAAACACTTGCATATCCAGTAATTTTTATGTATAATGAAAAGAACTTTTGGATTAAGAACACCATATCAAACACCTGCTGCATTCCATGAGTATTTATATCAAATTTTTCAGATGGAGATTCTTCAAACAGTGGGGCTCTATCTGTAAATTCCATGAATATAAATGCCCATGGCACTTCCCTGCACTCTGGTATATCTTCACAGTTTTTTCAGACTGGAAAGAAAAATTCAGTTGAGATTCCACTGTACACTTAAAAGTAAGATTTCATCAGAAAAGACTGCCATTAAAGTATAAATCTAATTTCTAAGTTCCTAATAATGAAAGTTCCCATGATGGTGACCTAGGTGTTATAACATGACTTTAATGTTGTGTTATAGATTTGTCATTTGTATCAAAAGCAGATGTGAAACTCTTCTCAAACAACTATTGCCAAATCATCTTTCTTGACCAGTGTCATGAAGAGAAGCAGCTCACAAAAATAGCCAAGGCTTTTGAATTCAAGGCTTGGACCACAACCTCCTTTTACCAAAAGTCCTAGTAATAATTTGGAAAGAATCCAAGAGAAGAATGAAGTAACATTTCAAAGGGGCTGGATAAAGGTAAACACATATATCCAAAACATATGACTGCTGAATCCACAACACTAATTGGAACTAGCATTTGGAGCCCTTCATCTGATGGCTAGCTCTGCTCTCCCCAAAAAATTGTCAGTTATTAAATCAAGGGATTTGTAACTTCAGCCAAGGTTGCAAACCTTCATGGTTCACACCACATACAAGCAGGTATATATCAAAGCATCCTTAGTCTCTAAGACCTTTTTGCTACCTACAGGAAACTCTTCCCAAGGATTTACTTCATACCCTTACAGCAAAACTCTACAGAGTAATTTAAAATTGTCAGTGTTTGGCTGAAATGGACACCATTATAAAAAGCTGGAATGGATGACATTTTAGTAACTTATGTTCTGCTGGTAGGTAACTTTCTGTTGTCCCATGATCAAGGATATCACAATGAGCAGATCTCTCATTACTACTGGAATAGAGAGCTGTCTGATAAGCTCTAGAGTTGTATGATACCTTACTCAAAAGCCCTTACCAGAGGGTTGCTAACTACAAGAAGCTGATACTGTAGTTGAAATCACATTCCATTATGAATGCATGATTAGGATACGTCAGCTGCTGTGTTCTAAATGTAATTCATGGCACGGTGACTATTTTTGCAATATGCTTCTATATCAAACATCTTGAAGTCAAGCAGTGTTATGTACAAGCTTGTGCCACCAAATTCAGAAATGGCTAAGTAACAGCTTCTGTTTGCCTTGTTGTCTTCACATTAGAGCGGGTCCAGCTAGAGAGCTTTGCTAGCTGGGTGTTCCAGCAAATTCAGTTGATATTCACCCAGATGCTACACACAGGCAAGTAAAATGTGCTCTGAGCACTGCTAGAGGACTAACAGATTGCTGTTGTGTAGGCATGAATTTCACCATCATCTGGGAAGGCATAATGCATATGTAAATTAGTAGCATTTGCCAGTTTACCTTGGACATCACTAGAGATGAAGTAGCTTAACAGTTGAGAAAAACTGAACCTAGTGAAACTCCACCTTAATCATCAAGAGTGTAGAAGGCTAACCCACCATGATCACAGAAATCACATTATGTATAATCAGGAACACTTACGATTCATGATCTATTATGCAGCTCTAGTAGTCCTAGAATTCTCATACCAAAAAAGCTGTATGGGTGAACTGAAATGATTTACACGCAACTGAATCAGATACATAAGGTACTTATTCTGAGTGCTTACCTCTGACACAGAAAGCAGCACACTCAGACCATTTCACAGATGCTTTGTCTCAAGGGGAAACAGCTTATACAAGTCTGCAACTCTACTGAATGCTTTGGAATTTGTCAAATAGACTAATATTGCTGACGTCACATCCATTTGCATATTATATACAATGTTACAAGGAGTTTAGCAACTCTAGCCATGTTCTGAAAGGCCCTATCACCTCCAAACTACAGGAATAGAAATTCCCCTAAATTCCCCCCCCAACTTCAGAATCCCAATCATTAGAGAAACAGCAGCAACACATTTCCTTTACTCAAAGTAAACAGCTTTCTCTCTAGGATTATGTTCTCAAGTGAAACAGATGAGAAAGGGATGACTCCCTCTGATTTGATCACCAGCTCCCATAGTGCTTATGTCATCTCAGAGAACACTCCCCAGGTGACATATCATGAGGTATCAAAAGATTTTCCTTACCAAATGCAACCCTCAAGGCAGAAAAAAACAGAGGCAAACAGAGGGCAGTTAGTCACCACAGAAGAAGATCTGGAATTATCCAGGCCACAAAAGAGGGGATTTGAGCCCATTAACAAGGAGGGATTCTGTGCAACACCTGATGCATCAAATCCTCATAGATGGCTATTCCAGTGAAGTCAATCCAGAGAAGCAGCCTAGCTTGCTAAATCATGTTAATGAGACCACTGAACTCTTTAATGCCCAAGACTTTGGCTGTGTACTTAACAGAATATTCTGAGTTAGAAGGGACCCTCAAAGATCATCAAATCCAACTCTTAAGTGAATGGGCTGTACAAAATCAAAATCCCTGTGGTGTTATTACCACCATGCTCTAACCAGTTGAGCTAAACTCAGGCTCATGCTCTCTTCCTGATGTTTAGAGCACCAGAATGTCTCTTCAGGCAGAGCTTTGCCAATGCAGAGCAGGATTTTAAGCAAGACGCTGTCCTACTGAACTCATATTTACCTCAAGGACTGTCGACATCACGGTACTGGCATGCTCTGTTGGACATGGAAACCTTAAACGAACACGCTTGCCACGAGCCTTCTTGGATAGAAGCAAGAGGTATGTTGCTGACATGTGGTCATATTTCCACTGTGGGGTCAGGGAGAAGGAAAGAAAAAGTATTTTAATCTCCTATTTGGAAACATTGCAAGTACAAGTCAAGCACAGCCTTCTGAGTATTTCTATGTCTCTACAAGTTTTTCTACCTGATATGCAACCCTAATTACACATAACTGTAATTTCAGACTTCAAGTGATTTGCATTACGTGCCTGAAATCAAGAAAAAGGCACTATGTTGGTTGTTTGCAAGTTTGTAGTTCATGAAGTAGCATGGAAATGCTGGAGTGAAGATCTACTGAAGTGAATGCAAAGCTAGTAATTCAGTTGACTTCAGGAAAAGTATAAATTTTTTGGAAGTAACTCCTGCTCATTCTTTCATAACTGCCAACTTTTTGCATGATTTTCAGCAACTCTGTGTGAGGAACACACCACTTTTGATGGGTTTGCAGCCCATCAAATGTAGTTAGTTCGAATAAGTTATAAGGGATTAGAAGTCTTCCAGGAAAGGACTATGTAAACATCATAAACTTATTTGGAAGGACTTTTGCCTCTGTAAACAGGTTATTCTGATTATTTGCTATAACTAAAGAACAAAAAGTATTAACTCCACAAGTCTGTTTTAAGTATCACACACATTTAAAAAGTCTGTTTCTGCTACAGTTATGTGGAAAACCCAAGTATTTTCAGAAACCCAAAATTATTGTCACTGCTAAGAAGTACAAAGAAGCAGATAATTGAGTTTTAATGAAGAATTTTCAGATTCAGGTAAAAGCTGGAGTACACATCATGTTTTAAGTCTTTTCAACAGCCTGCCATGTTAGTGCTAACATTTGCACAATTCTTCCAGAAGTATTCAGTTCAACTTTTGTAATTTGTCATCAAAAATGATTAAACATACTCACTGTTTTTAGAAATCTGTGAATAGCAACTGAAAAAGCCCCATATTTTTTAGACTGCATGGGTGTTGTTGATATTTCTATTTTTTTTTTCTTTTCCTACTCTTTATTGAACAATTTCAAAGCAAAAAGAGTTAACCCAGGAAATGGTATCTGTTGTTCAACTATAAATTTATACAAGTCTATTCTGACTTTCAGAGATTCAGAAGGATTTTACCATTGCGGTAGGATAGAGCAAATAGTAAGATTCAGAGAACATGAAGATCACAATTAAAAGAGAAAAAGAAATAAATAAATTTGATCCTCTGAAATAGTGGCTTGTAGTTATAAGCTACAGCCGGATTCTAGAGTTCTGCAGGGCCTCCTTAAATCTGAAATGTATGTAAAATATCATACTTTGGAATATGTTAGTATTGATCTGGTAACACAGTAAATTTATTTACTCTATTATTGTATTTAATTACTGTAAATCACTGACAAACTTCTTACCTCATTTATTAATTGCAATATAGTCTCCCTGCTCTGCTCATGAAATACAGAAAGCTCTGTTACACAGTCCTCATCAAGATGCCCCAGCTGCAACAACACAATGGATATTGAAATGTGAGGTTTTCAATTTACCCCCTAATCCATATCTGACAGTGACACTGTTGTGAAACCCAGTGGGCTGAGTTAATAGTCGATGATTTTAGACCTTGTATTTCAAATGTTTAGTATCACAGCTAAACACTGAAAAAGTCATACAACTTCAACAACTTCACAGCCACAATCCTCACAGGTGAGAGCTTATAAATTCAAATAAGCTACCCAAAAGCCAGTAAGATTTTTACTAGAATGGAAGGTATGCTTTCATCTGCCTATAAATATCCAAAGCTATGAGCCATGCCCATCTTTACCAGAGCCAGGTTGCGCTGATGGTGTGAGCGCAGTCAAACTGTCTTTATTTGGGGTAACAGTGGCATCTAGTGGCAATAGGAAGCATTGACTGTCAACATGCAGGAACTTGGCACATTCTGCTGACAGCCAGATTATTTTATTATTGTTTTTTTTCCTCTCCATATTGCGTTCATCTCTCACATAAGTAAAACAAGTGACAGAGAGACAGGATGAATATTCTTTCAATGAAATTTTAAATTTTCCAATTAAAAATTGGAAAATTTTAAATTTCTTTTATTTTCATTGGAATTTTTGAAAATTCCAATTTTCATTGAGGACTACATACAAGATAAACTATAACCATATCTAGCATGACCTTCTGAATATTTGTGTTTTACAAATTAAAGAAAGTACTGATCAAGCAGCCTAGGGAAGGAGCTGGTCATTCATATGTGGAAGGACTTCACTTTTTGATGAGAATTCAGTTATTCTGCATATTCAGCTAAAGAATATAAGGAATACTTTTGAAATTTCTCCTCAAGAGAAATCAAGACCAAGTAAAAATATTTTGACAGCTAAAAGAATCAGAAAAGAACCACAACCATCTCAAAGTTCAGCTTCTAACAATTTCATACCACGCACTATGAGGATGGTAGTAAGCCAGCAAATATTACATGAAATGCTTTAGTATCTATCTGACCAAAGTACTTACTGGGTATTTACTTTGCCACTGAACAGCATCAGAAAAACCTTGCATGAGCCAAGGATGACTTAACAGGTGTTGGACTGTAATCCGCTTCTTTGGATCGACCTGGTGTGCCATAAAAATCAAAGTGATACTTAAATTGTGGAGAAAAAGTGAAGAAACAATTTATCTTCCACCCAGAATGTTAGGGTGGTTAGGGACAAAACCAGAAACGAGTACTTTTTCAGAGCTTCACAAAAGGAAGCTCACACCCAAAGATCTTAGCTGTGAAGAGCAGTTATGGAACCTACAGCTACAGCAGATCTCCCAGGGATATGCAGCATTGGCTTCATTCCTTAGGTGTATATGTCCATATATATGTATACGTATATAGTCCAAACATACATTTGGACTACAAAACAACTCTTGTTTTTATAGCACATGATGAAAAACCAAGTGCATGCTGTTTGAAGACTTTGTTAAATCATGTAAACTTTGGTAATTATTTTTGAAATCAAACATATTTCCCAAAGAAATATGCGTGGGTGAATTTTTTTGCTGAAGGCAATGGTAATATTTTCTTTAAAAATTGCAAGAATTAAACTTCTTATTTAAACACAGAATATTTTTAAATATTTCATTGATGTAACGTTTTGAACAAATTACACAGTACTTTATACATCTATTGAACAGAAACAATAACCTTTACCTGCAGCATTTGGTCAAGGAGGAGTGTACTGCTAGGAGAGAGCCACTTTGGAGTACTGTATTTTCCTCTCTGCAAGGAAAGAAGAGGATTTAGAACTAACGCTGAACCTCAAAAGGAACTACTAAGTTACTTGGACAATAGTGACATCTGTACTTTGTAAAAAATAGAACAGTAGGAAGATGTTAACTTTGTTTAAAGAATGACTTGCATAGATGTCATGGCAGTACTAAAACCCAGCAGCATTAGTAAGGAAAATGCTTGAATCACCAGCTGTGGTTTTTGTCCACTCTGCTTGTGTGATACTTCCATTTCCACTCACTTTTGCAGTTAACCTGCTCCTTTCTCCATTGCCTTGGTTCATGCTATGAACTTCATACTGAAGTTCTAGAAGTGCAAACATACTGGATTCTGAATGACTGATATTAGCACTTTGCAATGTGAAGATTCCCTGAATTCACTACTTTTCAGACACTAAAATTACACCATCCTCAGTATTAAGATATTCTTTTTTGAATAGGTTACATCTAATGCTAAACTTTCAATCTCATATAGCAGACAGGAGAAGGGTTACAGATCTAGCAAGTGAGATTTTTTCAAGATAATAATTTACAGTTGTTTTTCTTTAATTTTTGATTAGAAGAAAATTGAAAAAAACGACTCCCAGAAGTGAGGCATAACAGTAGCTTGAAACGAAACCAAATTCACCACCAAGAATCACTTATTTCTGAAAGAAAAAATCAATACAAAGTCATTGTCAAGTAACATAACTTTGTAATGGCATTTTTCTTTCTACAGAGAAATGCCTTAATAACAAAACAGTTGGTACCATATGCAGCCACATTTCTAAGTACAGTATGCATTGTGTTGACATCACAGATTAACAACTTTCAGTTACATCTTTACAGACACTACTAGTAAGTTATTTACTAATAGTTCTGTAGGCTGTTTTAGAACATAGCTTTACTATGAAACTAAGTAACACAGGTAATCTACATTTTGGGTTTAGTATAATGCTACAGAACACCAACATAACAAAGAGCAATTCTCATCTATTGTATTGTGGGCAATACTGAATAGTAAATAGGTTATGATATCTGCCAAGCACCTAAGGTCATACCAGAAGTAAATCTTTTTTTACAGTAGTTGTACCACAGCTTAATTTTTCAGTCAAAAAGTCAAGCCACTGATTCACAAATGAAGAGTTAATTCCAGGGAATTAACACTGCATGTAAGGCATATGATTTTATTTAAATTCAAGCAGCAGATTTGACTTGGAGCAACAGGTTTGAGATGAGATTACAATAAATTTCAGGATTTAAAATGTGTGAAACTAATTCCATAATAGTGGGTGTCCTCATTTGAAACAATTTTCAATTCCCAACCACATTTAATGAAAACAATTTCAGAGTGGAAATAGCAAGTATGCATCTTAACATGATTAGTTTTTGACTGCTCCCAGACCAAGCTTTAAAACCTCATTTGTTGTTTCAGCTCATTTCAACTCATTCCACTGCCAGACACTGTGTTGCTACAAACAACTCAGTTCATAGTTCCTGTCCAGTCTGGACTATGGTAACTACACAGAATAATTTTTGATACTCTTAATTAAGATCTCCATTTCACATCTGAGTTCTCAGCTCAATGAATGCCTTAAGCAGTTGGTTCATTTACCTGGTTCTGCATTATGGTGTAATGAGCACCAAAAAGGGTTTTGTCATCCTATGACAGCATGCTTACAAGTGGACACGTTCTCAATGTGCTCCGACCTTCTGGGTAGACAACACAGTTCACACCACAAGCAGAGAGGGAAAAGCAGCTCAACAACCCTGTTACTTAATGGCAATTTCACTGAGAAACTAAGTGCTTGCTAGCATTATTTGGACAAGAGTCCTAATCACGTGGTTTAGGTAGTCTAGCAAAGAGCAGGGAGCTGGACTTAACGATCCTTTTTGCTGTCTTCCAACTCAAGATATTCTAGTACTATATGAGTTGGGAAGTCATGTAAAATACTGGCATCTCATCTGAACATTAGCACCTTTACACAATCTCTTTGTATTAGATAGTCTTTGCTTTTTTTCCTTTTTTTTTTATTTTTTAAAGTTCTCTTCAATAACTCAAACAAAGCTTCCTAGTCAAGGTACTTCCTTCTGTCAAGGTACTCAAGTGTACTCCAATTCCAGATTAAAAATCCACTCTCTTGAAATAATCAGGTGCTTCATAGAGCTCAGACTCTTCTGCCCCCTGAAAACATTTCCTGTGCAAACCAGCATCAGTTGCCCCCTGCCAAAGTAGTCCTTGAATACTCTCAAGAAGGGTTTTTTGTCTTTTTAAAGACAGATCAGACTCTTGGTGAGAGGAGAATGAGGTAGAGGAATACAAAGCCATTACTCTACACTGCTCTTCATCATCCAACTCAGACCAAGCTTCATTAACACAGATTTTTATGGCAGCTCAGAAGTGGCTGGCAGAGATGCATATGTGATGAGGAACAACAGCTGTTTAGCCACATCAAGAGGAGTTTAGAGGGAAAGAATCAATGACTTAATCGTATTATTTACTATTTATTCAACTCCTTTTGGAAGAGGAAAGTATAATAGCAGATGCAGAATCCTGCTTTTCCTACACATGAGAGTGGCTGACATTCAAGAAGAGTATTTTTTAGTAATTTTTAGGGAGAAGACAGATAAACACTTAGATATAAAAGTCCAGCTCACTAGCAAGAAAATGCTTTTCCGGAAACTCACTTTTCTACTGTATCATAGGACCAAGCTAGAGTACTGCGCAGGCTGAGGGAAAACAGAAACAAATCCACAAAGTACTGAGAAGCAAAATATAACAAAATTCAGCAGATAAAATTTTTTTGCTCAAATCAGAAAGTAAAAATTTCCCATAATGCTTAGTGATTCCTGTTCCTCATGTATTCTAGTATCATCAATACCTACCATGATCTTCCTGTAGACAGCCATGACATTATCATCATCAAAGGGAAGAAAGCCACACAGCAGAGCATACAGCAGTACTCCCATACTCCAAATATCTGCCTAAAAAATAAAAGTGAGAGTTCACAAACCTCCTCTGCTTAAAATAGCTTAGAGATTGATCACATTGTGTCCTTTTGGCAAAGCCCACATGAAACCTGTGGAAAGTAGGTTCCTTAACTCTGGACAGAACTCGTGAAAGCACACAATTTTCAATTCACTGAAACTAGAGCACTAGTAAAACCATTACCCTTTTTCTTAGGTCACCAAATTGCTGCATTACCTTCAAACTACAAGGAATTCAGTGACAAAAAGGAAATCAAACTCATCTGAAGGGATTTTGTACTCGAAAGTACTTGTGATTATGACAGCTGTCAGTACAGTAACAATCAGCTTTAAAGTCACACTGTTTCTTTTCTGTATGAACATGACAAGGTCTACGTGCCTCATACTTCAACTCTCACTTCAGTCATAAAGATAAAGGAGGTTTGAGAAGCACCAATTTTGTGAAAAACTAAAAGAAAGCAAGACTTAGAGGTCAGGGACAGTAGTACAAAGGAGATAAAGGAAAAAAGACTGACTCCATCCAACAGCACAGACAGTAAGGAAGTTTGAGGAGATTGAAATTGCAGCATTTTGAATGGATTGACAAGGGCATGTAGCAGACCCCAATGTTCTAGACATGGAATCAAAGCTGAATAAATGCTACAGTTTTTGTTCTCTTTAATTTTAGTACACTGCACAGTAAAAAGAGCAAGTTTTCATAGAAGATTTCAAAGGCAAAGTACACAAGATACTGAGATGGCATAGAAATTTGCAACAAGACTTGGAAAATTAACAGAACAAATTGCTGTTTGGAATAATGTGGTAGATGACAGTTATTTTTTGTAGAGCAACACCTGGGAACAGTGAAGGATTAGTCAGAGATGAAGCAGCCAGGTGCATAATCTTTGGTCAGGAGCCATTCCAGGCTGTCACTACTCTCAGTCACACAGCTTTTGAGGGCCACTGAGGCAACATGACAGTGAAGAAAGACACCAGGGGAGTTTATCTGAATCTCACCAGCTTTAAATACATGGTGCGCATGGAAAAAAACCACCCTAACCTACAATTTTATCACCTACCTCTGAGCCAATGTATGCTTTGCCCTGAATCAGCTCTGGTGCCGCATAAGCTGGGCTTCCACAGCAGGTATTCAGATGGTAATCAAGGCCACCCTAGAATAAGATAAAACTGATGACAAAGAAACATTTCTATAGCACAAATGGTGTCTTCTAGCAACAACATATTAAAGGCCTCAGAAGCTTCATTTTCTAATGCTGTCTATATATAGTCACCTAACATTTTGCTTTGGTATAATATATGGCTTCACCAGGCAAAAACTGTCCAAGACCAGGAGACTCATATAAATGTTCAGATCCCAAGCTGCTCCTTCACATGTTCTCCCAGCAGCCTTTTCTGCAGCTCCTCCTGTGATAGGAATACTTCCCTTTACGACCAGAAAGAAAACAGATGAATTTGGGCATTAGTAATCCAGGAGCTACCGGGCAGGAGGCTGGTTGGATATTTATATCAATATTTAAGGCAATAACTTCATGAAGAGCCACTAAAATACTTCCTTATTAAAAACGTGTTATTTCTTAGCCTGGGCTTTGTTTTAAGCAGATAAGATTGAGATGACATTGTATCACCAAGACTGTGGTATAATACTCCTGATTTCCTGCAAGGTGCTTTAACTTGACTCAGCTAAAGCAATCTGTGGACTTTGGATCTGTAAGATCTTATTTCCATTAAATTCCTTCTTCCCAGCACCCATCTCATATGTGAAGATGACAAACAGAGCAGCAACATAGAAACAAACTTTAAACTTGATAAACAACTCAGTACCACCATGTGGATGCAGAGACTTTGTAAAGGTAAGGGGAATCTATTTGATTTGATCCACAATCTCCACACATAGAGAAATCCTATGAAAATGACACATGCTATTGAAAATTATTGGAGGCAAATGGACACCAACATAAGCTTTACAGTGCAAGCCTTTGTGGTAGTAGATACTCTACACACAAGGCAATATGTGCCTTATATTGGGATGAAAGATGAAGTGCAGGAGGAGAAAAACTGATATTCTGTGCACAAAAACTGTTTCACTCTGGTAAGGCCCTACTAAGCAATTAGCAGTGGGACAACTACACCAACCGCTCAAATTCAGGGCAAGGCTCTGCACTGCACCCTGAAGGCACGCCTGCAATTTTTATGTGCGCGCTGTAGCTAATTAAGCTCTGCTATGATAGCAACTGACATCCTTACCTTTGGTTTTGCACAAAGTCCAAAGTCTATCAGCTTCAGGTTATGTTCTTCGTCAATCAGCAAATTTTCCTAGTAAAAGAGAAAGTGGTAATGAATTCTTACATAATGCCAGGTATCCAAGAAACCACATTTTCGTTCACCCTATTTCTTCTTGCCATTACCAGCCATAATTACTTGAAGCTCTCCTCTGGAGATTTTGGTCTGTTGCTGATGAATATATCCTACATTTCAGACAGGGAATACAAGCTCCTACCTGCTCAGAGAGGCCTAGGGAGCTGCTACACAGAAAGCAAAAACTGTGATGCAGCAGCCTGCCCTAGCAGAAAATGCAGCCAGTGATATCACAGATGGTGTGAAAAGAAGCAGAGCTGGCAAAATGGGGAAAGCCACTTGCCCTCTGTTCACCACACTGAGAACAGCACATTCAGTTTCTGCCGACCCTCTAGCACAGGAAAGACAGCAAACCAAGGTCAACTCTGTGGATGGAAACCAGCCTGTCGAAGGTGCTGGAGCACTTTTTCCATGAGGACACTGAGGGAGAGATGGTTTTTCAGCCTGTAGGTGACAAAGTTTCAGTGGAGACTACTTGGCAGCCTTTTCATTCCTACAAAGGGGGCATAAAGACAGCACCAGCCCCTCCAGAGAAGCAGAAGGTGGGATGATGACAGTCAACAAGCTTCAGGAGACATTCAGACTGGTGCTAAAAACAGTTCCTTTTTTATGAGAAAGAAGTTAAGAGCCTAACAGGTTTCCCAGCAAATTATGGTGCCTCGTCCTAGGGAAAGGCCCAAGATGTGCCTGGATGAAGAAGTTTGGTCTGACATTGTTTTAAACAGGAGATAAAAGCAGAAGCCACTAGAAGTCAATTCCCAACCAAGTTATCTCACAATCCTATGAATACTCAGGTCTCCAGCTACAAACCAAATCTTTCCAAGAGGGACACAGAAGGCTTTGCTTGGCGAAAAGCTCTTTGGAGACAAGGATTTCCTGAGCTGTCAAGTAAAACGCTTGTACCCAAAGAATTTGCTTTTCTCAGTTATCAGTGTCTCTGAACATGCAAACTTCTAACCCCTTCTAGGAGAAATAGTCTCAAGGCTTCCATTCCCTAAACCCACGCTTAAATCTTGTGGTCACAGCAAAGCCACAGGATCAGTCTTGTGGCTCATCCCTCCTCTGTCCTTACTTGTTTACAGTGTGGGAGTCACATTTTCCTTTGAATGTCAGAACAGAACAGTTTGCACAATAGAGAGGAACCATAACAACTCTCCCTGGGTACGTGCTGGAATAAAGGGGATAGCAAGATGCCTAACAGTCAAAATCAAATCTGTGCCTGCTCCACTCTCAGCTGAAGTGCACCATTTTGTTCCTCTTCCAGAGGAAGAGCCTTCCTCAGATACAGCTACATCCAGCTCAGTTGAGGAACAAAGCAATAAGTAGAAATAATGCTTCTCAGCAAATGTTAACTAAACAGCTCTAAGCACAGGAGAACAGAGAAGACAACTCACACCAGCTCCACTCAGAGAAATAAAAGTGGGTGTTCATTATTATTTGTGCAAATTTGACTACTGTTCAGACTTACTGGTTTGAGATCTCTGTGGGCATATCCCTGACTGTGCACATAAGCAATTGCTGAAACAATCTGACGAAAAAATATGCGAGCTTCCTCCTCAGAAAGGTGGTCCTTAGAAATTATGTAATCAAACAGCTCTCCTCCAGGACAGTACTGCATGAAAGCAAAGAAAAAAAAAAAGAATACATTTGGGATACCGTCATGAAATGTAAACATGAACAAGGGCACTGGACAGCAGGAAGGCACTCTTCTCTTTCTCTCCCTCTACTTAATCCCAGCAGGACCCAGCCAGTGTGCAAGAGATCCAACAAGACCAAGAGCCCAACTCTTGCCTGATGCTTCCCACAGCCATATCACACAACCAGCACAGGTGACAGAAACTGCCTAAGACATGACAATTTGGTGGCACTTCTCAGGTCCCACATATCCTGCTGGCGCAGTTTTTTGGAGTGTGAGGTGGGAATTAAAGTCAGTTTGTTTATTGCAAACAGTGAAAAGTGGCTTTTACAATGAGACAGAACACATTATCAGCTTCATTTTTAAACTACAACACCTTGGACGCACTCATCATTGAGATAATTTTCTAAGACTTGTTTCATTTGGACTCTACTACCATCTACTGCTACGGCTAAACCCAGAGATTTTTGCCATAGCAGAAACACAATTCCTTACCTCTAAAACCATGAATATTTTCTTGGGTGTCTCAATCACATGATACAACCGGCAAATGTGCTGGTGACTCAAGTCCTTCATGGCATCGATTTCTAATTTAACACGAGGCAAGTCATCCTAAAAGATCACAACAGCAAGGTATGAAATTGCCAAGTAGTTTGACAGCCTGTACCTCAAAGTAAGCCTGCACATCAGAACTGCTCAAACTCAAACCAGCATCAGTTCTGTCACTGCTTACCTGCCCTCCTCACACACTGGTCAGTAAAACCCAAAGGGGCAGATATACAATGCTACTATTCTCATCAGCACTCTGTTTGACTTACAGTAGTTTATTTAGTTACTTAATATTTAAAGCTGTAACTGCCTCAGTTTTACAGCCAGGGAATATTGCCCTCTCCACATGAGGGCACAGGATTTTTGGTATCATTAAAATCCTTTCAAGTTTACAGCATCTACCACTATCCCACAGTGACAGGTTGCATCCGTGCTCCTGAGAGGTCCACAGGAACAGCACATTACCACCTCTGAAGTATCTTTTGGATTACCTGTAAAGCGAGCTTGTCCATGATTTTTATTGCAACTTTTTCACCAGTGAGACGATGTCGTGCAAGTTTTACTTTTGCAAACCCACCTGGAATTTAAAAAAGAAATGTATAAAGCTCTACATGGTGACAAGCTTTCTCATCCTGATCTCAGTTGCCCTGAAGCAAATATGATGCACAGCATGTGGCACCATTGCTAGAGGAGGAAGCAATTGCTGCCACTACCTTCCAGTTACACTTCCACAGTTGTGACCCGCAAAATACACCGAGAAACATGACCCACAGACTCTGAAGTAACAGTTAATCTCTCAGATAAACATCGAGGTGAGTGGACACATCACACACACTTGCTAGCATTCACAGACTGAGCCCACCTGTGCCGATTGTTCCGTGTAATTCATAGTACTTGAGAATTTCCTCATAGTCATCTCCGGCCATTCTGCGACCGCAGGACGCGGGCAGCTCTTCTCAGCACCTGCAAGGGGAGACCGCAGATTGCGCTCATGCTTTCGGGCAGAGGAACCGACTCACCAGCAGCCCCCGGGGAAGGCGGAGCGGCTGCTGTTCCCACAGACCTGTCACGGCTCCCCAGCGACCCGAGTCGCAGAGGCCAGAAGACCCTCGAGTCCTCCGCCGTTTCTTGGGGCGCTGCCGGCAGGAGCCGTCCCGAGTGTTACTCCGTCCCGAGGCAGCGACCCCACAGCGGAGCAGCCTAGAGAGTCCGTTACCGTTCAAATGTCCCGCTTCCGGCCTCAGGGATCGAAAAGCCAATCTCCGCGCGCCGCCAAACCGGAACGGGCGTGGAAGGCACGGTATACAGGGTGGGAGGGGGACCGGGAGTGGGGGCTGTCAGCGTGGGAAGGTGCGTGCTGCCGGCCCGCTGGCTGCTAACGGGCGCAGCTTCAGCCGAGACCAATCCCTACGGAGATAGAAACGTCTGCTTCTCCCAAGAAAGCGCGTACCCCGGAGCAGCGGTCGGGACTGGAGCGGGGTCCACGCCGCAGGGACTGGCGCCAGGCACAAGATGGCGGCCGAGGCCGTTGCTCCGAGGAGGTGGTGTCTCCCGCCGCTCCCCGCGGACTTTTCCGCCAAAGCCCCGGCCGGCCGTGGCTGCCGTTCCCAGCACCGCTCCTGGGCATCCTGGGGCTGGCGTATCCGAGCCACGGTCCGAGTCTCTCCGGGCCAGAGCAGCGCGGGGCAGGTGGGAGTCTCCGTTGTGAGGTATATGTTTAGAAGACTATTAATAGACAATAGGCTCATTAATGCAGAATTGCAGCTTTGCTCTGTGCACGCGAAGAAACACAAGAAGTATGGCAAATGTGAGGGGAAATGGGCAGGAAACATGGGGGAAAATAAGGTTGCAAAATCATCAACTTTTATCAAAATGTCCACAGCAGAACTAGACTGTGTGGCTCCCTCAGGATGCTGCACAGGCTCAGGGCCAGCCATACCTCCAGAGATTAGCCTGGCCTTGGCAGCAAGGTGCTAGTCCTCTGTCCCATCCTTGTGCTACCATGCAGAGCCACCAAACAGTCTGTGCAGAGCCTGGAATGCCCTCCTGAAGCAGGATGGCTGTTGCCAGCAAAGAGCCCACTGCTTGCTGAGGGCATAGGCTTCCATCTGGCAAGGCAAGGCTTGGACTGGTATGTGGCTGTGCAGGCAAAATGCGGCAGGGGCAGGATTAGAGAGTCCCTTTTCTGTAGATGTACATGATCTTGTTCTCTTGGGATAGCTTTTTGTCACTTGGGACAGGCCCTAGACACTGCAGATTTCCTCTAGGGACATATCTTAGTTGATGTAGTCTTTCCATTCTTCCTCCTCCTTGGCAAAGGCTCTATCCTTGGACTTTGGCACTAACAGGACTGGAAACCTCCAACTGTTCCTGCCCACTGCCTGCTGTGGGCATGGGCTTCTAACAAGCGAGGTGAAGGACTGGGTGAGCAGCAGGGGCTGTGCAGTGCAGCTGCCTGGCTCTCTGCCCCTGCACCTGTCACCTGCCAACTGAAGGCCAGAGAAGCTGGTTTTGCTGCCTCTTGTTCCTCAGAAGCAAGAGATGCCTGGTGCTTCCCTTCTTCAGGAGCTCTGGCCAAAGCTGGCTCAGAGGCTGTGGCACCCACTGGGGCAAGAAGTGCTCAGGTCACTAGCTGCCTCTTCTGCTACCTCTGTGACCATGCTGCTGAGACAGCTAGGGTTAGCTGGGTAGCAGTGTGACGGTCCTCATTGTTCACTGGGCCCAAGGAATTGTCCCAGGTGCTGTAGCTGACATCATCTTCTGGTGGGGGACAGACCTTGGTCTTTTTTGTCTTGTCAATGAGACAGTTTTTTTTTTTCATTGTCATCTTCCCTTTGAGAGAGCTCTTTGTTGTTGCTGCCTTCCCCTTGGGACAGGTCTTGGTCTTTCTCCTGTTCCTGTTGGGACATTGTCTTTCCCATGGGAGACTTCTTTGTATTTGTCATTTTCCTAGTAGGACATGCCTTTGTCAAAATGATATTCATCTTGGGACATGTCTTTGTTGTCTTCCTGCTGGGCAATTTTTTTGTCATTGTCCTCTTCCCCTTTGGAGAGGTCTTTGTCTCTCCTGTATTTGCCTTGGGACATCTCTCTGTCATTCCCATGTTCCTCTTGGGACATGTCTTTGTTGTACAACATGACATTGTTGTATTCCCATTATGACAACTCTTTATCACTGTATTTTTCTCACTGTGCCAACTCTTCATCTCCTGCATTCACCTTGAGACAGATCTTTCTCATTGTTGTCTTGGCTTTCAGCCAGTTCTTGGTCTCTTGCCTTCATTTTGGGACAGCTCTTTGTCTTCCCTTGGCAGAGCTTTTGCTATCCATCGTCTTCCCACTCTTTCTCTTCCTCAGATAATGTGGCATGATTGGAAAATTTGGTTCCAGAAGCTCTAGCACCCTCTGATGACTCATGATTTTTTCAAAATCCTGGAAAATTTGTCTGGCTTTCTTGAGCAGGGGCAGTCTATGCTCTGCACAGGCTGGACTTTTCATCTTCACTTCCTGTGAAGGCTCTGTCTTGGACACAATGCTCAGATCCTTTGCAGTCTTGTGGTGCACCAGCAGAGACCTGCTGCTGAGGTTGCATTTAATGATGCTGCTCTGTCCAGTGCCATGTCCCTGCATCTTTGCCCAGGGAAGCTGATGTAGCCATGCTGTGTGCCCAGTCTCAGCACTCTGCTGTGCCTCTGGCTCCACATGTAGTTCTTGTGAGGAATGTCATGCATAGAGATCTGGTTCTTGTCCTTTGCACCTGCAACATAGGCTTCGTGATGGTGTGGTGCAGCCCTCATGCTCTGAACATCTGTACCCTGCTCACTGTGGGTGCCCTGAGCAATGGGCCTGTTGTTGGCTGTGGTGATGGCCATTCTCCTGCCCCTGGCCGAAACAGTCAGCTGCTGGATTCTGCTGTCAGAGGAGGCAGCTTATATGTGTAGGAATGCTGCCACCTGTATTGTTGTCAGATGGGCTCTCTCTTTGGTGTCACTCTGGTGTGGACGAGGCAGTGACACACTGCACCAGGCTGTTCATCTGCGAGAGAAGCTGAGGAGAGAGGCTGCCTGACTGTGGCCCTTGCTCCTGCCCCCTGTCTGTTCCTCCTGCCTGCCTGTCAGCAGTTCCTTGGGGTGGGAAGATGTTAAAACCTGGCTCTGGCTGCCTTGCAGTGCTGCATACATCTGCCTGCCGTTCACCTGCATCTGCCTCAGGTCCACCTGTGGGAAAGTGGAAGCATGGGATGGAGGTGGCTTCTTTGGCTAGAGGCAGAGCCCTGAGACAGCTTCATGATGCCCAGTCTGTACAAAGACATAGAAGCCAGTTTTTAACCTTGTCTGTGTAGCAACTGAAAATAACAGACCGCCACTTTGTCAAGTAGGATTGTCTTTATTAAACACACTTGAGTGTTTGTATGTTTCTTCCGTGTCCAAATTTAGGATCAATTATATAGCCAGTAGGAGAGAGAAAGTAACCATACAAAATAAAGGAGAGTAGAGCTGATGTTTCTAGCTCTTAAAATTCATCCCACAGACATTCACAGACCAGATTTCAGGGCTGTACATCAAAGCACAGGTATTTATAGCTGTATTTGATCCCTTGGTGTTCTGTGTCCCATGGGAGAAGAGCTGTTAATCAAGGTCAGGATGGCCCAAGCAGGCCACTGCTTCCACCATCTGTCAAGGTATTTAAAAGGTGGGAAATGTGAGAGGAAAAGGACAGGAAACATGAGGTAAAAAAGGGAGGGAAATGTGAAGGAGGAAAAGGGTGGGAAACAGGAGGAGTAAATTGTGAGAAACATGAAGAAAGAAAAAGGCCTAGCAAATGTAGGGGGAAAAGTTTGGGACATGTGAGAGGAAAACTGTGAGAAACATAGGGGAAAATTGTGGGGAATATGAAGAGAAAAGTGAAAATATGACTGAAGAAGGGGCATGAAATGTGAACCTCCAGGTCACATCAGCTCTGGACCCCACTGC